TTTCATAAACTATAAAGTGATGCATAAATGTCATCAATCATTGTTATGAAAACTTTATTAATTTTTGATGCTTTCTTCCTCCTCCTCCAGAGAGAACATCTAGAAGAATAAAAACTACCTATAGTTAACTTCAAGAAAAGAATGCTAAGGACAACAAAAAGAATTTTTTGAAAGCTATTTTTAGACAAAGGAGAAGACCTGAAGCAACTGTCTCCTTGTTTAGGATAGGTAGTGTAATGTGAATTGTTGACCAAAAGAACATACAACTATGCATTTCCTATTTTCTCTCTTTTTCAAAAAGAATTGTTTTCATGTCAAAAACAGTGGATTAAACATCTGTGTGGAGGGAATTGAAGTCCCCAAAAGATGAAAAGGTAGAAAGAGAACCCTCAGCTTAAAGTAAGCCTTAAAATTGAGTTCCAGAATACTGAAAGATATTGTAGGTGTGATTTCAGAACCATTGATGGTAATCTTTAAAAGTCTTGGGGAACTGGAGAGTTTGTGAAGATCAGAACAGACAAATGTACTGATTCCCAAAACAGAAAGGTCTGAATTTTTGAAATATTTTATCCAGACATTGAACTCTGACAAAATTCTAGACTGGCTTTGTTAACAATTACATAATTGCTTTATTAATTATGGTTTTTGAGGACTTAGAAAAAACTATTGATTATTACAAACCAATATGGGTTCACTAAGAACAAGTCATATTGAACTGGTATCATTTTCTCATTTTATAGGATACAAGGTGTAGTAGAACCACAGAATGATATAAACATGGTATACTTTTGGCAAAGCATTTGAATTAAGCCCTTTAAGATATCCTTGTTAATGTGGTAGGATGTGAACTAAATAATATTTGACTTTCAAATGGATCAAGCAACCATAAACAAGTGTTAGGCTAAGCTCAAAGTGAGTGACTGAGAATACTGTCCTTGACCCAGTCCTATTCAATCTTTGTATGGTTGACTAGGATAAAGATTTAATTTCTATACTTATCAGATTTAAGGATGACACAAAGCAGAGAAAGTAAGCTAATACAATAAATGACAGAATCAAGATAGGAAATTATTATGATAGGCTGGAATGTTGGAGAGAAATCAGCGAGACAAAATTTAACTAAGATAAATGTCAAAGTGCAGCATTTAGATTTTAAAGATTTAATTATACAAGTACGAATTTAGGGAACTTAATTTCTATTCATATGAAATAATACCTGATGATATATACACAGACCCCCTAAGAGCTCTTAGATAGATTTCAGGGGGTCTATGAGCTTGGATGAGAAAAAGTTACATTCTTGGGAACTTCTTAACATCCTAAGTAACAACTTAATACAATTGGTTTTCTTTGTAATTCAATGTTTTTTTTTTAATTTTATGCATTCAAAAAGATATTCTGAGAAGAGGTGAATAGGCTTCATCAGATTGCCAAAGGGGTCCATGACACAAAAAAAGTTAAGAATGCCTAAACTAGGTATATTTAGGCAAAGGCCAGATAACTGTTTGCCAGGATGTCATTTTGTTGTTCAGTTATGTCTGACCATAACATGTCAGGCCCTTCTATCCACCATTATTTCTGGAAGTCTGTCCAAGTTCATGTTCGTTGTTTCCATGATGTTATCTATCTATCTCATCCTCTGCAATCCCCTTTTTCTTTTGCCTTCAATCTTTCCCAACATGAGGGTCTTTTCCAATGAGTCCTGTCTCCTTATTATGTGTCCAAAGTATTAAACTTCAGCTTTAGTTTTTGACCTTCCAGTGAATAGCCTGAATTAATTGCTTTAAGTATAGACTGATTTGACCTTCTTGCTACAGAAGAGATTAATGGATCAGATTAGATAACTTCTGAGGCAGTATAATAAAGTACACAGAACACAGGACTTGGAAATAAAAGACCTGCTAAATGGCCAGTTCTTTAATTTTTAGCTGTGTGAATTTAGGTAAAGCACCTTGCTTCTCTGAGGCCTGGTTTCTTCGCCTACAAGATAAGGATAATACTCCTTGGCCTATTTGCTTTAGAGGGTTATTAGGAGGATCAAATGAGATAATATGTACTTTGAAAACTATAAAATATAGTAATTATACCATGATGATTAATTATGTTGAGTAATATCCTACTCATCTTTAAGATTCTATGTTTTCATGATCATGAGATTACAGACAACACAAGTCAGAGGGAAGGCAGTTTGTTTTAATTGCTGTCATTAGGATCTCTCATCTCTGGGATGGGTCCTCAAATAGTACCCAAGAGTTATAAAACATTTAAGTTAGAAAAGAATCTGCGAGCCAGCACGGAATACTGGTTAGAACGCCAGCCTCACGTTAGGATGAGCAGGATTAAGATACACATTGGCTATGTGGCACTGGACAAGTCATTAAACCTTGAAGTATTCCAGATAACACTCTATAAGACTATAAGTTACAGAAAATGTAATATTTCCTTCATTAGTAAAGGGAGTATCCCCATCTAGGATTTTCTCAAATTAATGAAATCATAGGTCTAGTTTCTAACCCCATCCTTATAAAAAGTAATTTGAAACTTATTAAAGTCTATGACAAAGCTTTAAATAAATTCCAAACCATCCAGGCAAATTTTACCTGAGTAGATTATAAGCTCCTTAAGGGCAGAGATAGATTTTTATTAAGTTTTTCATTTTGTCCCAATACCTAACACAGTGCCTTTCAATAGCAGGTTCTTAATGAATGATTTTTAGATTAGATTAGGTTGGAGACCAGAGGCAGGAGTAGTTTTAAGACATTCATAGAAATGAGAGGACTGGGGAAAATCAAAGGTTAGGTAAAAATAGCTTCACAATACATGGAAATTAGGAACTGTGAATTAAAGCGTTACAGGGAGATATTAAATGTTCTTCCAGTGAGTCAACTTATATTTCTATACTGAGTCAGAAAAAATTATTGACCTTAGAGAATTAATTAAAAATAAAATCCATATTATTTTCAATTCTTTACATATATACATATACACATATGTGATGATTGAAGTCTATGTCTATGAGTAGGTTATATATATGTACATATAAAATTATATCTGTGTGCATGTGAGTATATATGTACGTGTATATGTATATATATATGTATATATATATATATATAATATACATATACTTATAATTTGCCTTATCAAAACCTTGAATGTTTCATTTTCCTGAGAGTTTAAGTCACATGTAGTGTTACCACTTTGAGGGAGAGGGATTTTTTTGTTGTTTGATCACTTTTCAGTCATATTCGACTCTTTGTGAGCCCATTTGGTGTTTTCTTGACAAAGATACTGGAATAGTTTGCCATTTCCTTCTCCAGCTAATTTTATAGATGAGGAAACTGAGGCAAACAGGGTTAAGTGACTTGCTCAGGGACATATTGTCAATAAGTGTCTAATGCCAAATTTGAACTCATGAAGATGAGGCTTCCTGACTCTAGGCCAGGCACTCTATCCATTGTGCCACCTTGCTGCCCTGGGAAGGGATTACAGTTCAGGTTATCTTGACTCCCAGCTTTTTGTTTAGGGGCTTAGCAACAGTGATGAGATCACTCTATGTTAACCCAGTTAGTACATTTCATTATAACAGAGCCTGAGATCAGGATTTCAATATTAGCCTTGCTCGGTTGCAAGGCCACAGCCCTTAGCTTTAAACTAACAATGTTATTTCTCAGAGGTGTGCCATGGTCACAAGAATGTGGGTGAGACACTTTAGATGAATCACTGTATGTCTCTCCCCAGCACTGGGAAAATAACTCAAAGAATATGTCCTGATGACAGCTCACTATCATTATCTTTGTTAGATAATATTATCATTAAACTTTGCTAGGAAATAATTATGTGGTTATTATTATATAATAGGGAAACAGTATTGTTGTCTTTGTAAAACAGTACCAACATTATTACTATGTTATAGGGAAGTAGCATTTTTCCTAGATCTTTCTTGACATAATTCAAGTCTATTTTATATATGGGAAAACTCAAATCCATAGCTGCTAAATGGCAAAAGAAAGTTCATACCAAGTCCATGATTGGATCTAGAATGGAATTGACTCCAGGGGGCAAAGTCTTGTTTTTTTGACCTTCATGTCAATATTCATGTCAAAATTCTATGATTCAGTCATCTTAGCAGCAGCAGATTGACAGAGTGTCTGTGAACTATTGAAAATATAACTGAGGTCTGTCTGGAATCTTTTTCTGCATTTAAATGCTTTTATTGTGGGACTTTGCAGTGATTCTCTTCATCAGAAAGTAGTTTTTAGTGGGTCTGTCTGGGCTTCAGGGGCTTTATTTACTGTTGTTTCCAAAGGATCATAAGATTTAGAGACACAAGGGATCTCAGAGGCCATTTAGTCTAACTCCCTTACTTTGCTAATGAGGAAATTGAGAACCAGGAAAGTTAATTGATTTGTTCAAGATTACTATTGGACTTAGTGATTGTCAGGGGTGGTATTTTCACTCAGGTCCTCTCACTCCACAGGCTGTGCTTCACTTTTTATAAAGCATCAGTGGATATGTCCCTACAGATATTAATATGGACCTGGTATAATGGAAATAGAGTTATCTTCTGAAAGTCAGGGGACCTGAGTTCAAATCCCACCACTAATGAGCATTATCCATGTGGCTTTGGGCAAGTTATTTAAGCTCCCTAGGACCATTTGTAAAATGAGGGGGTTGGACTATTTGGCCTTTGAGTTCCCTTCCCAGATCTATACCTATGATTCTATGATATAGAAAGGCATGCATGTTAAGAAACATAAGATTATATAGCATTTGGGACATATATATATGCACATACATACACACACATATACATACACACATGTATATATGTATGTGTGTGTGTATATATATGTATATATATATGTATATACATATAGGAAAGAAGATATTTGTATGTGGTATTGGGAAGCGCTCTAATGATATAACATTACCAAAAAGATATGACCAGGTCAAGTTTAAGCACAAAATTTCTCTCTCTCTTTTTTTTTCATTTTCAGTTCGAAAGGATATAGTACATATCCTCTCTGATCTTGATGTGGAAGTTAAAGACATAACTGACTGTTACGATGCTAAGTGTTTCCTTCAGCTCCTATCCACCGAAGATCTTTTTGAAAAGACTAGCAAGGAATTCCCTATGGCAGTTGAAGTGATAGAAGGACCTCAAGGGAATCCATTGGCCAGTGGCTTATTGCAACCTGGGAAAACCATTGTCATCCACAAAAAGTACCAGGCGTCAAGGATCTTAGCTTCAGAGATTAGAAGTGATTCCCCCAAAAGGCATTTCTTGATTCCAACTAGCTATAAAGGCAAATTCAAGCGGAGACCCCGGGAATTCCCTACTGCCTATGACCTGGAGATAGTGAAGAGTGATAAAGAGCAGCTTCATGTGGTGGCCACGAAAGGCTTTGATTCTCCTTATGAGGAGCTGTCATCTGTGTCTGTCGGGGACCAGTTTTTAGTTCAGCGCTCACAGACCAGTGAAGTTCTGTGTAAGGGGATCAAAAAGGAAGTGGGTGTTCTGGCTTGTGAAAAAATCCTCAAAAAGGCCTATGAGCCTGTTCTTTTACCTCTGTACATGGAAGGCGGCTTCATAGAAGTGATTCATGACAAGAAGCAGTACCAGCTTTCCAAGTTGTGTGCTCAGTTTCGCTTGCCTTTCAATGTCAAGGTCTCTGTGAGGGACCTTTCTATTGAAGATGACATTTTGGCTGCCACACCTGGCCTGCAGCTGGAGGAAGAGATCACAGATTCTTATCTGCTCATTAGCGACCTCACTAACCCCAGTGAGAGCTGGGAGATCCCTGTCAGCCGTTTGGGCATGTCTGTCCAATTGGTTAGCAGTACAATTGATGTCATTGATTCATTTCCAGTCCGAACCATTGTAGAAGAGATCAGTGAAGAACAGTATTACATGATGAGGAGGTATGAAAACCTAGCCTTACACCCACCACCTCGGCCCCCCAAAAAACCCTCCATCATGGAAAAGAAACCAGATTTTCTTACTCCTCCCAAGATAAATATCATGGATCCACCAAAGTCTCCAAAGGTAGGCCTTTGTTCCTTTAACTTATCCCTTGAAGTATCTACTGGAGGAGACTTCATTGCTCGTCTTTATTGAATTTATTTTTTGCTTACTTGCTTTTTCTTCTCGCCATATTTGAAATGAGGCTTTACGAGCCACATTAGAGGAATGAGCCCCTACAGAGCATAAGCTGCTAGTCATGTATTTAGATGGTTAAACACGGGATGCTGTGTGAAGTTTCTGCTGAATTAGGAGTAACAGGGATGGCATTTGTATATAAGGACTCAAATTGCCATTTCAATGGTGGTTTTGGTAATTATGAGTGTTTTATAAGGTAGCTGAACAGCAAATCAATTTCATTCTGGAAGCACTGAGTGTTTTCATCTAGGTAGTGTAGTTTTAATGCTTTATCTAGGAAATGAGCACACAATAAACTCCACTGCTTTTGGGGTAGCTGGTAGCATAAGCAATAACACTCGTCTTCATTTTGCTTTATGTTAGGAAAGATGGAAAATGGCTTGGCGAAACTGTGTGCAGAAATGGGAACAGCATCTGCCCACATTCTGTCTATCTTAGCCAGAGCTGTTATCATTCCCTCTTCCATTCAAAAACAAAATCAATAAAATTGCAGACAGTTTGGGATCGTTAGAGTCAATAGTGCCATCAGCAACTTAAAGATTTTCTACTGGAGCAACTTCATTCTTCCCTGAGCTAGCTGCCCTTTGGTTGCTGCCCGGATGCTGGTTGAAAAGAATTTGACCTTTAGTTCATCATGAGAGATTGGTGCCCACTTTTAGGCTGAGGTATAGAAGGAGGAGAGAGTTTTGGTCTGGCAGATGTTGTAGAAACAATGTAGGAGAATAAAACAATTAGCATGACAAAGAGATGGGGGTGTTTATTTTGTTCACGAATGATAGCCTCAGGCTTTAAGTATCTGGATACCAAAATACATTTAAACTCAGTTGCCAAGATTATATTCTGATTATATGTAGGAGAGATCCAGAATGGATTTATAAACTCCTTTTCTTTGAAAATTGAACCTGTAGGAATTATCTGTGCTTAAGAGTGTTAGGTGGATTGCTGGCTGGGTGACAGTTTTATCCCAAAGAATGCTGATTAAGGGATTATTGTCAAATAGGAGGGAGTTCTTTAATGCCTGTAGGGCTCTGCCCTTGGTCCCTGAATTGTTCAACATTTTTATCAATGACTTGGCTGAAGGCAGAGAATGAAGGCATGCCAATCAAATTCATAGATGGCCCAAAACTGAAAGAGAATTATAAGCTGGATAACAGAATCAGGGCTCAAGATGATTTCACTCAGAATGATGGGCCAAAATCCATAGTAATTTTTTAGTAATAAATATAACGTCCTACTTTTCACACAAAAATTTGTCATATGAATACAGGAGGGAAATGTCTTAAAAGCAGTTTACATTAAAAAAACCCCTGCAAATTTAAAAGGACTGATGAATTTTTAAAAACTAAGACCTGTGATTTCATTGGAGTAAGGAACTCCCAGTGGGGAAACTCCCTCTTCCAAAGCAGAACTTTACTTGGCTTTTTAATCTATAGTCTTAGAATGATGCCTGGGGAGGTTGAGTGACTTGTCCAAGGTCATATAGAAAGTATGTGTCAGAGGTAGGACTTTTAGGTTTTCCTGACTTTGAAGTCAACTCACTATTCCACTCTGAGAATGGATAGATACTACCTTAAACTATCTTTTTTTAAATGTAGAAATAGGTTTGTCCAGATTAAAGGAGATCATTCCCACTGTCTTGGGTGCTGGCCAAACTATATCACAGTAGTAATAAAAAAAAATTAATAACAAAAACAATGATAACCAGCATTTATGTAGTGCTTTAAGGTTTGTAAAATGCTTTATAGATATTATTTCATTTTATCCTGACAACAACTCTGGGAGGCAGGTGTTAATATTATCCTCATTTATGACTTACCCAGGGTCACACCACATTAAGTGTCTGAAGCTAGATTAAACTCATGTCTTCCAGGCTTCGGGTCTAGTGTTCTAGCCACTGTACCACACAGCTGCCTCTGAGGAATATGCCTAGTTCTTTTTTTTTTTGGACCATACAATTTATTACTTAACAGTTTATCTTTAATTTATGATGCTTCATTTTGTATTTGCTTACAAAGCAAATTATCCACTAACTTCTATGTGAGACAATATAAATTGCAGCCTTGTTAAGAGAAAAAAAGATTCTCAGTATTTTTTCTTCCTAAAACCTCAACATTCTAGTTCTAAGCATAATACTTTAGGAGACAGTTTGACAATATATGGGTGGGAGGTAGGGGAGTAATAACGCTTTTATTATTATTATTATTATTATTATTATTATTATTATTATTACTTAGGGTGAAAACAATTAGGGAAGGGGAGAAGAAACAGAGGGCAGAATGACCATGAAAACAAATGCAGGAGGAGAGTAGTCTAGCTGTCACTCCTGTGAGGTTTGAGAGAGAGGAAGGTGAGCCTAAGATTGTAGTGCCATAGCAACAGGATGGGGGTGAGAACTGCATGTGATAGGAGATTGGTCACACTGAGGAGGAAATCCAGACCCTTCCAATACCCCCTGGGCAAGTATCTGGAGCATTTTTTTGCCTCGTACTTTTACTGCTTAGGATGGTAAGAAATCTTAAAACCACATCATAAGGAACAAGGAATATTAGAAAAAGAAAGGATTTTAGGGGTCATCTAGCCCAATGTTTTCATTTTATGGATGAGGGCATTGAGGCTCAGTGAGATAAAGTGACTTGCTAGAGATAATACTGTAAACTGAAGAAAGATGTTATAATTAGGATTTCTTTTGTGTCTGAATTGGACTAGATTGCTGCTGAAGTTCCTTCCAACAGTCACATGCTGTGATCTGGGGAAGGAAAATAAACTAGGTCGTCCAACTTTGTAAGTCTAATACACTTTCTACTATAGTAAGGACAACAATCAAGTGAGCTGAGGACACTTACTTTGCATGGGATAAGATTTAGGGGCACATGGTAACTGTCTTCAGATACTTGAAAGATTATGGCCCTTTGAAAGAACTTATGTGTTTTCACCAGAGCACTGAACTGGGACTAAAAATTAAAGTTACAAGGAAGCAGATTTTTGTTCAATATATAGGCAGAACTTTCTTATAATTCTTAGAATTTAAGTTGCTTAACAATTGAATGAGCTGTCTTACAAAATATTGAGCTCCTCATCTTTGGGGAATGTATCCTTTATGAATTATGAATGGCAGGCTTGTTGATAAGCTTTCTTTTAGAGAAATTTGCTACTTGGAAAATCAACTACTGCTTTTTTTTAGCAGGAATATTTAGAAAACCTGGAATCTTAAAAACATATATACATGCTCATGTACACACACACACACACACACAAACATACACACACAAGTTTGTGTTTGACCCCATTGGAATTATAATGCCACTTGCTTTCAATGTAAGGGAAATGACTATTTTAATGTTCTGTCTGTCCCCAGAGGAAGCCATTTAGAGAAAACACTTAGGATTTTGGATCATGTTGTAAATGCGGTTTTAAGTATAGAGATTTTTCCCCCTCTAAAGATAGCCAACTTTTAAGGCTTCAAACTCATTTTAAAATGCCTCATTACACACTGAGAAGAGAGTTTCAGATGCCTCATTAATAGAAGTTTACTTTTACCTTCCCAATGGGTCATTAACCTTATTAGATCATTTCTCGTGTTATTAAGTTATTGGGCAGATATATGGGACATCTGAGTGTCCAAGTATCTAAAGAATGCTGAGCTTGGATCAAATCCTTACCCTACATTATTTATGTTACCTAATTCAGTGCTTCACAATTCATAGAATCACAAAATTATGAGAGACTTTAAAGGTTTTTGAATCCATACTCTACAATATCTCTGGCAATTTGGTCATTCTTCCTTTGTGTGAAGATGTTGAATAAGGGAGAAACTAAGACACTTCCCAAGGTAGTGTGGTCTACTTTTAGACAACTCTAATTGCACTGGACAGTAGCAAATAAACAGAAAGAAAAGAAAAATTCTTTCATATTCATAAAATAGATGAACTTTATAATATTTTGGTCATGGTTTTAGATAAAGTTGCAGACTTTGTCTACCATCCACAATTTTCATTTGAATCAGTTTCCTGTTTTAAAAAACTATTAAAGAAAATTGTTTCTACAGTTCACTTAATAGCTTTTTGATGGTTTCTGTTGTGTTTTTCATGTGTAACTTCCCTTTTGAGGGTTCAACAATAGTCCACTGAATGTTTTGATTCTGCTTGTCTAAATATTTCTTTTTCTCTGTCAAGATTTCTTGATCAAAACATTCATTCCCTGTGCTTCTTACTGATCACAACTAAGTTCCTAGGACAGAAGTCCAACTATGAATACAAGAAATAGAACTTGAGTGGCTCATTATGTCCCATAACGTTATAGGCTTTGAAAGTAAAAATTTATTGATAGGTTTTTACCTCAAAGTTTCCTAAAAGATTTTGTTCACTTTAAAAACTGGTTTTACTTACTAGCTGTGTGACCCTGGGCAAGTCACTTAACCCCAATTGCCTAAAAGCAAAAAAAAAAAAACACAAAAACTGGTTTTAGAGGCAGGTCTGTCTGCCTCAGTTTCCTCAGTCATCAAATGAAGATAATAATAGAAGGTGCTTCTCAAGATTGTTGTGAAGATAAAATAAAGCTGAAAGAACAACATCAAAGTCAGGAAAAGAGGGAAGGAAGGGAAGAAGTATTTATTAAGTACCTACTATGTGCCCAGCATTGCACCAAATGTTTTATAAACATCTCATTTGATCCTCACAACAAGTTTAGGAAGTGGAATCTGTTATTATCCCTCCCTCCCTCCCTTTCTCCTTCCCTTCCTTGCTCCCTGTCTCTTTTTTTCCCTCCCTCCTTTCCTTCCTTCCTTCCTTCTTTCCTTCCTTCTTTCCCTCACTTCCTTCCTGATTTTGATTCTGGTCCTTCAACTTTATTCCACTGTTTCTTAAAATATTAATCTTTTATCACTTCCA